TTACGAATCATCGAACAAGACTCACAGATATGGACAAATTCATCGAACAAGTGATTAAACTCGCTCGTGAACTAATCAATACGAATGAATTTGCCATTCTGATGACGATTTGATCTGTGTGAATGATTCAATTGGTTTTAGTATAATTTGAATCTTGCCAAGAATCGATTAGAGCAAGAGAAGCGAACCGAATTTGAAAAAATCAATCGCTTGTCATGCTTTGTGAGACTGTGATGATTCGATTGAAATTCATTTGAATTGAAAACTTAGATTCTGAATAAAATTGGATTACTCTACTTCTGCCTTAATGAATTCAAAGATTTTAGCTGATCATATTTACGAGAGTAGTTTAGCAGATCATTTACGATAAAGATAAATCGGCTGTGATTTTTTTGTGACTAATCAGATCGGTCGTTCCAGATGTTGGAAAATAACAAAATTGATCGGTTCCACTCAGTTCCGACGATTTCCTTGCCATTGGATTCCGGTCAGAATGTTGACGGAAAAGTCCGATGATTTTCTGGTCGGTTTTGGCTGGAACACGTCGAAACGTTAACGGAACGGACCAGCGAAACTGCGATCCGAATCCGATGTCAAGAAAATCGTCGAAAACTCAATGAAGCTGGTCGGTTTTGATCGAGCAGCAATAATTCAGTAGTGTCAAACCGGAAAGTTGAATTCAATTATTGAATAGTTGAACTTCAATTATTCATTTTTCGCCGTCTCCTCCCGGACTCTCTTCTCTGCACCCACACCTGGTCGCATGATGTGTGTGTGTAAAGATAAGTATGTCATCTCCCTCCGAACTCCTTTCTCCGCACCCACATCTGGTGAACATGGAATAATTGAATAATTGAATAATTGAATAATTGAATAGTTGAAGTAAATTTTCAATAATTGAATTCAATTTTCAGGTTTGACATGCATGTTTGATTTCGAAAATACATTATTGCATATCATGGTCAGACCATAGAAAGACTATTTCTTTTCCGAACATAGTATATACTTACGGGACTATGATAGAACATCTTTGTTTAAATGTTCGTGGAGAAAAAAGGATTTTAGAAATTTGTGTCCCTTTTCGGCCGGATGTTGCCATTTGGTAACATCACCGAATTTTATTATCCCGACAAAATGAATAATTCGTATTAAGAGTGCTATATATAGCAACTGTATTAAGAAAAATTAGCAACGAGCCATCTCTGACATCAGGCATTCAGACTCGCAGAAAAATTATTTCAAAGTCTCAGAAACATTGAAGGGACATTTCAGGAAAACTGAGCCAATATCTCAGAGAGAAATTTTTAAACATCTTTATGATATTCAACACACGTCGAAATCTATTATAGTAATTATCAAATGATCAAAACAATACATAGAATCACCTTAAACGAATCTTTCGTCATATATTGATTGAATGTTGCCATATGGCAACATCGGGCCGGAAAGGGTTAAGCAGGATTTGCACACAATTAGAAAGATTTTTCAACATAGATTCTTAATAGATTTACTCAATTTTGCCTACAAATGTTTTAGTCGATGAAAAATACACTGACATTTGCTCAGAAATTTTTTCATGACTTCCTACGTTAAAAATCAGATATTTACTCGGATTTGTGTCAGAGAAAAGAGTTACCTAATGCCGACTTGGCACCATCATCTGTTATAATAATTCAAATTGATATCAGCAACTAGAAATTCTACTTTCCGAGCAGGAACAAATGAGTTTGTTCATATTTTATCATGAATTTTTATAAAAACAACTACTCCAAATGCTTTTATAAAAGAGAAAAAAAATACGCAATGTATAAATAATCGATACTGAATTCATTTTTTTTATTGTATGACACATATAAGATGTTTCATATAAAATATCTATTCTATTTTATTTTTTTACATTTGATTATTGCTATACCTCAAATCAATCTTCATAATACAGGTTGGGTAAGTGAAAATGAAAATAATGATGTATTACAGCACGATTGTTTGCGTATTGATGTTTTAAATAAAGAAGAAAATGTTAGTCGTGAAATAATATTTTATTGTATGAGTGAATTACCATCGAAATTTCATATAGAAAAAACTGATTTTTTTCCAAAATTTACTTTTGATCAACTTTCAAAACAAAATATAACAAGTCAACAATTATATCTTTGGTCAACACCAATAGATATTATTGAAGATTATCAATTCTATTTAAATCAATTATCAATATCAGATGATTTAGTGTTATCAAAAAAAATCTTTTATAATTGTACATTACCAAGATTTGGTTCCATGTGTCAATATGAAATTGATTATTATCATTCAAATTATATGTCTTTATCTGAAATGATTAATGATTTCTATCATATTTATAAATATAATCCAACTAATTTTACTTGTTATACTCATTTACAATGTAATCGTGGTAATTCTCCAGCATGTTTAGATTGGACTGAAATTTGTAATGAACAAATTGATTGTCTTGATGGTGGATTTGATGAAGAATATTGTTGGCAACTTGAAATAAATGAATGTAATGAAAATGAATATCGATGTACAAATGGACAATGCATAGCAAAATCGTTTTTTCAAGATGATATTTATGCTCCTGATTGTCTTGATGGTTCTGATGAAATTCAAAAATCTTTTGTCATAAAAGCTACTTGTTTTCAAGAGATGCCATCATTTAAATGTGAAGATGTAACATGTAGGATTTCACCTTTAACAAGTTCTTGTATGAAGAAACGTGAAAAATTAATATTCCAAAGCATGCATTCTATCAAAGATAATTCAACATATAATGAATGTTGGTCTGCATTCCAATGTCTTATTGTTCATTTACGAGATCGAGTTGATTCAAATTGTAATAATGTTTGTACATACGATATGTGTTATGAAATCATTGAACATGATTGTCCAGATATGTTGTATATCCCAACTATTCCAGTTCTATTTGGTGATATTTATTTTGCTTATGAAAAATATAATTCAACAATGTTGAACCGTCAGACATTTCTATTTCCCTATATATGCTATAATAATTCACGTTATGATAATTATTTTGTCGAAGATTCAAATATGGTATACAATTATTCAACTGTATTATTCAATAATCTAACGTGTCATCGTCGTATTATACCAGTAATACTTTCGCAAATCACTGTCACTTCATTATCTCGATTATATTTACAAGAATTACAGCCAAAACTTTGGCGATACCATGAAATTCATAATTATAATTCTTCAATTTGTAATAGATCGAATATGCATCAATGTTCCAATTCATTGAAATGTATTTCTACACATCGTCTCATGAATGGTGTAAATGATTGTCCTAATAGTGATGATGAAAATAAAATTTCGATCAATTATACTGTTTCAACAGAAGAAATTATAAATACAGATGAAGTGGATGATGAAGAAACAAAAATGAAAATTCGATATGCAAGAAAACATATTTCATTCCAAATAATTTGTGATGGATTTACTGAATTATTACCAATAGCAATAAATGGACAAAATGAAACAGATGAAACTGAATGTGAACAATGGTCATGTAATAATATTTATACTCATTGTAATGGTTTATGGAATTGCCTTAATGGTGCAGATGAAATTGATTGTGATTTATCATCATCATCATCATCATCATCATCATCAAATTATTCTTCAGATCATCACAAATGTGTTTCACCTGATACAAATCAATTTATTTATTTATCTATTAACAAAGCAAATGATGGCAAAGTTGATTGTCTTGGAGCTATAGATGAACCAACATTATGTCGCACAGAGTATCGAGTAACTTATAACTATAATTTTTATTGCATAAATCAAAGCTCGATACCATGTATCGATGCGCAATATCTATGTAATAATATTAATAATTGTTATTATGGAGATGATGAACAATTTTGTATAACAAATCGAACACCTCATATATATAGTAGTCTTTGTTGGTCGATGGACTTATTATTCGGTTCAGATGTCGAGAAGTTTTTATGCAAAAAAATGGATAGTTTTAAAAAAGAACCAGTTATATATTTTACACTTGATGGGATGAACAATTCGGTCAAAGCTCTAACAAATAATATAGAAAATGAAGTATCTTCAAGTTTACCTCTTCTTGAAAAATCTGATCAATATCAACCTCGTTGTCATCGTGGTATTGATTTACGTGTTTGGTTAAATAATAAAAATAATATAACCAGAAATACATGTCTCTGCCCACCTAGTTATTATGGTGACAAATGTCAATATCAAAATCAACGAATAAATTTATCAATTAAACTTCGAGCATTATCTAATTCATGGCAAATACCATTTGCAATTGTTATTTTATTAATTGATGATAATAATGAACAAATAATTCATTCATATGAGCAATTTACTTATTTATCAATGAGAGATTGTAAAATTAAATTTAATATTTATTTAGTTTATTCAAATCGACCAAAAAATCAAACAAAAAATTACGGAATACATATTAATATTTATGAAAAAATTTCATTAAATTATCGAGGAAGTTTATTTTTTCCAATTAAATTTTCATTTTTACCTGTTCATCGTTTATCATTAATAATTGATATTCCAAGTGATAATATTAATATTGAAAGTTGTTCAAATAATCCATGTACTAATGGTAAATGTATTAAATATTTGAATAATAAACAAAATAAAATATTTTGTCAATGTAATGAAGGATGGTCTGGAGGTTATTGTACAATTGAACATTCTTCAAGGTGTTCACCTGATTCATTATATATTGGTGTTTCTTCTAATAATCAATCAATATGTATTTGTCCTATTAATAAATTTGGTTCTCGATGTCTTCTGAACAATACGATTTGTCAAAATAATGAAAATTTAGCATGCCAAAATGGTGGTCAATGTATTCCTACAGATGAATATATGATATCGAATAAAAAATTTGTATGTATTTGTCGAAAAGGTTATACTGGAGATCGATGTGAAATAGATGATAATAAAATAATTTTATCATTTGAAAAAAATATTTTTTTATCCCAATTAATATTTATTCATTTTATTGAAGTTATCAATAATAATAGACCAATAAGATCGACTACATTTCAAACAATTCCTGTTAAACAAGATTTTATTACAATTTTTTGGTCAAGACCATTTCATATTGTTTTTATTGAATTTTTAAAAAAAAAATATTATTTATCTATTGTTCAAAATGTTTATAATCAATCAATAATAATTAAGAAAATGATAAATCCATCAGATCGTTGTCAACATATAAATGAAATATTTAATGAAAGCATTGCTAAATTAGATCTTATTCGTCGTATAAAATATTATCATTTACCATGTCAAATATCAACATTAAATCTTTCTTGTTTTTATGATGATATTCATCTTTGTTTATGTTATGATTATTATAAACAACGTCTTGCTAATTGTTTTGAATTTGATCATAATATGACATTTGATTGTTTAGGTCAAAGTATTTGTCAAAATGGAGGAAAATGTTTTCAAGATACTCCAAATTGTCCAAAAAAATCAATGTGTGTTTGTTCTTCATGTTTTTATGGAACACAATGTCAGTTTAGTACAAGTGGATTTGGTTTATCACTTGATGCTATTTTAGGTTATCATATTATACCAAATGTTAGTATCAAACATCAATCAACTATTGTAAAAACAAGTTTAGTATTGAATATTATCTTTAATATAGCTGGTTTTATTAATGGTATTCTTGCTATGATAACATTTAAAAATAAAATTATACGTGAAGTTGGTTGTGGTATGTATTTATTAGGTTCATCAATAACAACTATACTTACAATGATTTTATTCGGATTAAAGTTTTGGATACTTATTCTTTCACAAATGGCATTCATATCAAATCGAACATTCTTACATATTCAATGTATTTCTCTTGATTTTCTTCTACAATTATGTCGTAATATGGATCAATGGTTAAATGCTTGCGTAGCCATTGAACGAGCATTTACAATAATAAAAGGTACTAGTTTTCAAAAGAAAAAAAGTAAACAAGCAGCTAAAATAATCATTGTTACTCTTATTATTTTTATCATAAGTACGTCGGTTTACGATCCTTTTTATCGACGTTTAATTGATGAAGAAAATGATAGTGAAATGAGAACATGGTGTATTATTACTTATTCAACTAGTTTACAAGTATTTAATTCTATGATGCATACTTTTCACTTTTTTGCTCCATTTGTGATCAATTTAATATCAGCTTTTATTCTGATAACAAAGAAATCTCATCAACAATCAAATTTTCAAACTAATCGAACTTACAATCAACTTTTACGAGAACAATTTCATGAACATAAAAAATTATTTATTGCTCCAGTTATATTAGTCATTCTTGCATTACCACGTCTAATAATATCTTTTGTATCGAAATGTATGAAATCAACAAGTGATTCATGGTTATTTCTTATTGGATATTTTATTTCATTTATTCCATCTATGCTTACTTTTGTTATATATATATTACCATCAAATTTTTATAAAGAACAATTTCATAAGAGTATTTCTCAATATCGAACTAAAATACGAGGATATTTGCAGATTATTTCATCAAGATAAATGAGTGATTTTGTTGAAAAAATTGTGAACAAATTTCATACGAGTATAGCACAAGTTTAAACAATACATCATTGTCTTTATCGTTTTCATTATATATTCTACTCTATTATTTTCTTGTTACATTTTCCCAAATCAAAACATATTTGATGTTGTATTTTTATGTCAATCTTTTATTTTTAATGATTAGATTAAAACTCTTTTGGGAACAATTTGTCTGACATTTTTTCAAATTCTTTTATTGTCTAAAGAAGCAATACCTGCAACCGACTGATCCAAGTCACTCATTACAACGATCATATACGATTCATAAAACAGAGCTGTAACCGATCAAGAAACACTAAATCTGTCCTATCTAAATATTTTTCTAGGCCAGTAAAAACTTTGGCAAGTTTCTAATGTTTCTTCAATTGATAAAATCGATGTTGTCGGTTCCGTTTCTTTCCTAAATATCTACGGATTTTTATGATACTTGTCATAACTCCAAATGGACTGGACTGGACCTATCAACGTTGGCACATCAGTTATCAAACTTCAATCCAGTCCACCCATGATTTGTCCTATAAAATGGTCTAGGGTGTGGGTGTGGGTCGGTGCATACATGTCAAACCTGAAAATTGAATTCAATTATTGAATATTTGCAGTTCAATTATTCAATTATTCCATGTTCACCAGGTGTGGATGCGGAGAAGGGAGTTCGAGGGGAGACGACGAAAAATGAATAATTGCATAATTGAACTTCAACTATTCGAAAAATAAATAATTGAATAATTGAGTAATTGAATAATTGAATAGTTGAAATAGATTTCCGATAATTGAATCCAACTTTAAGGCTTGACGCTACTGCACCCACACCCTAATGTATTTGTCAGAAAATAAGACCATTAAAGTGATGAAATAAAAATCATCGATCTATCCGAGTATCAAACGAATGGACGCCATATATATGTATATATCATTATCATCATCTGTAGTATATCCGACCGGACGTTGCTTTCATCACGAGATTATGCCAGGCGTCGCTGTCTTGGGTCTTTTTCCAAGTGGAGATGAGTCCGAGGTTGCATGGTCGAACGTCGTTTTCGAAGACTCGGGGCTATGTGTACCATGGCCTGCTCCTTGATCGCTTCCGCCCGTGCGGTAGTCCACCGACGCATACACGCAGAGCTCTTGTGTGATTCGAAGAGACATTGTCTCTTGCAATGTGTCAGAACTGTCGCAGCCGTCTGTTTCTGATGGTAGTGTTGACTTCTGCTTTTATCTCGTGTGTTCGCGAACCTCTCTGTTCGTGGTGTGTTGCGTGTATGATATGCGAAGGATTCGTCTATCAAGCTGGCATCTTCACTGGCAGCGATGATCAATCATCTGCGAATATACTCGTCATACTTATAACATAACAAAACAAATCACAAGTAAATAAACTCACCATTTTTATATACAACTCATCAAAAAAATGTATAAACAATTATATCGCACTCGTTGAGTTGTTCCTTTTCTTCAGTTGCGCTTTTCCTTCTCTTCAACACATTTTCACTTATTTTCTGCAACACGACTCTCTCAGGTAACATCTGACACACCAATCGAGACTGTTATATTAGTAAATCAATGCTCTACAATGCAAACCAACGTTGTCTAAGCCTAGTCAGAACCGTTTCGACAGTAATAATATCTATTCCAAAACTAATTCACCTCATATAATTACATAAAAACTTTGCATATTTAATTTTAATAAAATCAATGATATTGAAACTACCCATTTTCAAAAACTTCAGTTGATCTTCAATCAGGTGCAGTAGATATATCATCAAACAGAGCACTTAGTCAAAAAAGGGTGTACCCTATTTTTGAGTTTAAAACGTGACATTGAATCTCTCGTAATAATACTCAAGAAGAAAACAATTGATGGAAGAGTAGACTTTTTTATTTCTTACTTGAAAAGAATAATATTCAATGACTTTTATTTAGAATATGAAGCAAAAGAAAAATCAATCGAGGAAGTGTTCGCAATACATTGTCCACAACTTTAATACATAAGAAAAATTTTTAGAATTAAATATATTTAAAATATTTTCACTTGACAAGAATAAACGAATGAAAAAATGATGACAAATGAATAACTAATGATTTTGATTGGTTAGCAAAACCAGTTAAAATATGTAAAATATAATCATCTATTGATTGACATCCATTAACAGGTATTGGATGACATATTGTTGTTCCTTCAGTTCGTGCAAGAACTTCATGAGTTAATGACCCAAACATTAACCATGAAAGAAATTGTATACAATTAATGCAATCAATAAAATATTTTGCTCTTAAAAATAAATAGAATTATTTTAACACTTTTATAATAATAGAAAATGCAAACTCTTGTTTATTTAACAGTTTAGGTGGATTATAAAGCGATAGAATAAAAAAACGAACAACTGCTTTTGAATCTCTCTGTCCACCTTTTGTAAATTCTAAAGCAATATACTATGTAAAATCAGCATATAATTGACCATGTAATGTATTTTCCTTTCAATTAGATGATAGTTGTTTTTCATTTTTCTTTCATTTTACTCTATTAAAATTCAAGAAAAAAAGATTGTTTTTCTTAAAATGTTTTTTCTAGTTTTTATTTTTGTTATTGTATGAATATCAGTAATAGATGCAACTGTATCACTAAGATAATGTTTCACACATTCCGCTCCATTTTTTATCACTCAATAATAATAAAAAAATTCGTGTAGATAAAAAGAAATATCACAGCACTGGGATCACGAATGTACAGAATTATAAGGGTCATATGAACGAATGTCATCTCTGACAGTCACGGATGCATAAATTGTACCATCAGCATCAAGTGAAATTATCTAAATAAACATTAAAGTTTTTTTCAAAAATAACAATAAAAAAAAATATTTCCATGAATTAATAAAAGTAAATTTCTATCCGGACACGGGTATCGTTGAAACATAGCTTCAACAAGAACATTACCAATGGATCTTAGTAAAAAAATATTTCTCGATCCTATTACCGAAAAAATAAATTTTTAAATCCTGAAAACTTTTTCTTTTGATATTATTGTACTCGTGTAAATGTTCAATTGCTTAATAAACATAATTCAATAATATGTTCTTATTGAAATGTTTCATTCTGTAAAGTAAATGTTAATAATTTTGAAAATGGATCACGAACAAGTCTAACATTCGCTATATATGGAACTACGAGTATATTCATTATAGTACAAATACGAAGGATGATAGTTAAATCATAATTAGTTGGCGAGCTAGATTTAATTGTTGTATAAACACGCGTTAATTTATCAAATTAAAAAACTACAAATATCAAGAGAAAGACATTTTTGTTTACTCATATCCTATAATAATAAATACTCAAATTTTATTTTGAAAGAAAATTATCAGATATTCTGGAGTTTAAAATGCAAAAAGATGATTTCATTTCTCGCATTCTTAAACTTCTGTATATGTGATGCGACATGTTCGAGAAAAAAATGGCATTAAGAATCCATTTATCTGCAATAGTTAAATTAAATTTTGGAAAAACATTCAATCATAAAGCAATTTTAGTAATAATTTTCTATCTGAAACAACAAAAAACGTTTTCTTACTTACGATTTTATTTCTATCAAAATCTAACCTCGAAAATTTTGTTGAAAAAATTGATAAAGAGTATTATTTGCAGCCTATTGTTGAAATGTACAACGAAAAATTCTTGTGCAATACTTCTTGAATTAGTTGGTACAACAGCATTTGAATTTTTTTGTCATGTGTATACATGAGATACAGCAACTCTTCCGATTGTTTCAATCATGTTCATGAGTAATGAAGCTTCACTAGAAGGCTCACGATCAACAAGTGTTCCACATATAACTATACAACAACCAATATATGTTTCATTATAATATTCAATGAGTTGTCCACGTTTATCGAGGGATGTCATAATATCCGGAACTCGGGTATCGAGATTTTGACACAACCATATACACTAGAATACCGAGGAATTTGAGTGAATTTGGTGTAACGAGATGGATACGCGAAAAGTCGGTGTCGGTGGGAGTGAGGGCGGTGGTTTGTGTGTGGGTGTTGATGTTAGTGAGAGGTCAGAAGCGTACAAGACTAACATGCATGCACCAACACCCACAGGAGGTGCTGTGCATTGTGTGTACTGCCGCGTGTTGGTGGCCAGGTGGGAAGAGCGAAAATGCTGTACTTTAGCGTATTTCACTATACTCCAAGATTATATCAAAAGAATTCGTTAAAAAAAATTTGCTATTTGAGGTTTGTCATCGATCGGGGTTACAGTGCTTTACGTGGAATCCAGCTTGGATATGTCTGTTTGGTAGCAAAGTCGAAACGCTTAACTCTAGTCCACTAACTGCGGAACAATTGATTGAGTACATTGTTTCATCAAAGATATATTAAATAAACCGTGGTGTTGCCGCAGGGTAAGATTCTCTGTACACTCCAGTATATTTATTTAGTTTTCAGTTCAACCAGAAGTCTTGGAGAATGATTCAAAGTTAGTTTCCATTGAGAGACGCGTAGTTACTTGAAGCTCACTCAAATTCCTCACTTTTTAAAAATAGGGTATCCAATTTTTTTGGGTATCCATTTCACTGGATATGGTGACTAGTAACTCGCGGGTACCCAGCTTATGGATATTATGACATCTCTGGTAACGAGATAGATTGATAATTACATGTATAACTGAAAAGAATGCTTTAATTAAGATATATAAAAAAGAATGCCACGGCGAAAGTGGTGCCATCTACTATGGTACTTGTTTCACTCGTAACTCTCTAATGAAGCAGCATGGGCACGAACCCTTATAGGTAATGTATAGACATGATCACCTCTAGCTGCTCACCAAACATGAGCACGAACGGTGCGAATCACCTGGGAATGTTCCCTCGTTAGAAGTTTTTACCATTGTTCCATCACAATAGAGTCTTCTGTATGAACTGTAGAAGAATTTATTTGTACTATTATCGTGAAAATATTATGTAAACAATAGAAATCTTTTACTGTGTACTTTCGTAATTTTCTATATATAGTTTAAATGCTATTGTTAATAAACTAATTCCTTTTCGAACTAACCAGCTTCTGAAGATTTCTAAAAGCTTTTGGTGGAAATATCAGTAAAACATAACTCTTATCTTAAATATGAAATATCAGTAGATTATCGTCATTGGTTGAGTCATGGTACTCAAAAGGATTAACGGTCATTTATCAGAAGAAAAACAAATATATACGTAGAAATTGATGAACAGGCAATAAAATTTATTAATAGTTTTTATTAGCGATAAGTTATACGTCACACATGTTGTCAGTAACAGCATTCATTACCATTTCATCATCTTTCTGAAGTAATGCAGGTATATTGGCTAATGCTACTACAGCTACTCGTGTAGTTCCAATTGGTTGATCTAATAAACCTTGATTGACACAACTTAATTGTAACTGAGTCGATGTATTAGCATAAAACACTGGGATTCATATAAGTGATGTTTTGGCAAAACATGCACAAACGAAAACTGTCTTTGGTGGTATGAGGGTGTGGGTTTGAGGCCAGGTTGGACTGTAATTAGATAACAACCAGATCCACGCCCACACCTTCTATGCTTACCATTCTTCCTGTTTTCGACTTTCAAATTTCAGCAGACTCCCTAGACTGAATAGTGTAGGATTTAGAAAGTAAAATTAAGCTTCAAATTTTCAGCGTTTACATTGGTAACGTGTTTCCTAGATTGAAAAGTCTAGGGTATTGAGAGTTCTATTTAAAACCAAATATATCTGTCTGTGAATATGCATGCATTCATATTAGTACCATATTTTTAAAGGAGTTGTCAATCGCACGAAAATCCGTTTTAGAATGTTAACTTATGCTATGAATGCATAAAAAACAAATGATTTATATCCTATGTTCAACAGTTGCAGGATATGCAAAATGGTACTCAGTGACTTAAAAAATCAGAAAAATGCCATTAAAATGATGAAACACATTATCAGATATATTTTTTCTTTCACGTTTTGACGTGAAATCGAAGAAAGTCATACCACGTTTTCTAATCTTTTAGCTCACTAGATAGAATTCATTTAGTAAATGTGTTTGTCTGAAACATAGTTTTTTTACCATATGTATCTGAACCTGCATGTATTTCCATTTTCGAACTTTTAGTAGTCTTTTCTTGCGTTAGTTTTTTTCGTCTCTAGCTCACAACTTCTTGGTTTAAATGAATTTAATTATCGGATCGCTTCTTAATTTACAGCTTTGACCTTTATTTCAAGTGCTATGGCCGTTTCTTGCGTTTCGATAGCCGACTTTTTTTCTGCCACACTTTTAGGTTTCGACTGAATTTGAATTGCGAAATCACAGAGATGCTGAATGATTCAGTCTAGGCCTACGTGACTCGATATCTGATGAAGATCAACTATTTGTATGGAATCATTTTTATTTAAATGTGTTCATTCAAGAAATTACCAAATCAAATTAGAGAATAACTGCAATTCGTTAATTACGCACGAGAGTTAGCGACTGCAGCACGTCGACGACTGATCGTCTGGACCATGGATCCAAAATCGCGTATCCTTACGCACATTGCCATATGCATAGAAGTGCCATCCTCCCGATTGTATTTGACCTGTGTTCGCCGTCCATTCTGCGCCTGCATACTTTGTTCCATTCATACCAGAAATCCACTTGTCTGACCTGACCAGATTGCCACCACTTCCCAACCTGCACCCAACGCTGTGGCGCAAAATGCGCTGGCTTGAGCGCGATTCTCGAAACGAGATGCCTTGACTGGCATAGTGGTGCTCACGTGACCTTGGTTCCACCCTGCATAGTTTGCAGCCGGCAGAGCGGCACCATTGCCGTAAATGAGATATGGGGGACGAGGGCTGTAATCATATTTCATGCACAGCATTGGTAACTCAATATTACAGTCTGTATCACCATTGTATGGATCACAGTTCATACCATTGGGATCTGTCCAATCACGACAACCGATGTAATCAATACCAAAGTCATTCAAATGAGATTGCTTGATAGCAGTCGTACCCAACTTTCCTAAAGTGCGAAAAAAGCGAAAGAACAAAAGTGTAGAGAAACAAAACTTGTATGATATATATATATTTGGTACCGAAAACAATCTTTACGCGACACGATTCGACTACACACTAAAAAGCTAGAATCTTGATAAAAGTCATGGAGGATTTGATCTATGTAATCATTTTTTTAAGTTAACGTGATGGTTATATATATATAACTTTTTTGTGGATTAGGTTTGCTCATTGCACAATGATGCAAAGAAATGGAAATTCAGTACTCAATTACGCATCATCAATTAGACTAGTAAACTTAAAAAGTAATAAATCGTATTACGCAGCAACGAAATCAAGCAAAATGATTTATTCCAGTAAAAATGCCAGTCGCTCTCCCCCTTCAGACCTATGCACTTCCAACCAATAAGCTACCTCTGCAAGCCTATACGTGACATTTTCTGTTTTGTTAACAACATTCTGCCTCAAACCAATATAAAACAATTATCTTCAAAAATCACGCAATAGGCTATTTTTAATCGATTATAATCATACGATTTTAATCGAAAATTGCAACCGAAATAATCATTCAAAAATCGATTATTTCGTGATTTTTGAGGAAAAGGTTTTTGCATGGGAGTGGAGAAACAGCGAATTGTGAGTGGGCGATTTAAATTGATGTGAATGATTCTTTTTCACATATGAACTTTTGGAGTTATTTGCGACCCGTATCTTTTATGCAGCAACTAATTGAAGTCTAGAAAAGGATCCAATCAAAAATCATCATATTTTGCCCACTCTGAAAATATTATAGAATGAAAGTACCTTAGTAGTATGTAACCATTTTGATATTGGTTTATGAAGATATCGTCCCTTTTGTGGACAAAAGCTTAAGAGACATCAGAAAAATTCATTTTCGAATTTCGACTTGAAATTTTGTGCAAATATAGTTCTTAACGAGAATATATTATTGTGAAACTTTCAGCTCTTTTCGTTAATCCTATACTATAATAAGAACATCAAATCTGCCCGTGACATATGACCGATGTAAAAGACATGCTTTTACCATAGTCTTATTTTAGGATAGGAACAACGAAAAGAGCTGAAAGTTTCACAATAACATGTTCGTGTCAAGATCTATATTTATGCAAAATTTCAAGACGAGATTCGAAAATGAATTCTTTTGATGTTCTTGAAGGCGACCACGGTATTCTGCTAAAAAAAATTTGACGTTTCTTAAGCTTTTGTCCACAAAACGGACAATATCTTAATAAAACAATATCAAAACGGTTACGTACTACTAAGGTACTTTCATTTTATAATGTTTCCAGAGTGGGGGAAAATATGATGATTTTTGATAGGATCCTTTGTATTGAGTTTATTCAAATTGTTTTCTTGATTGAAGGGAGTATCTTTTGTAACGTCATTGCTGGAAAAATGAACTCGATTAGAGATTGGAGAAAAAGATAAGGATAAATCCGATAAAAGAGTAGGTTTGGGTGTGTGGCGAATACGTTTACATTACAATATTTATATACCTTGTAGCATTCTTCCTTCTACATTTTTGTTTAATCAGACATATTTATTATTAATATGAGGTGGACTATATATTAGTTCATTATTTGAAACATATGAATATAAAGATACACTATTCTTTTTTGTTCTTATAACCAAAATATAATATATGGAAGAAATATGATATTGAAAAAATTGTTTTCTGTTGAACTCTTTTTTAGTCGATCAGGAGACAAAATAGGTTTTGGTTTTGAAAAATACTAACTTGTGGTTTGCTTGTACATATATTTCATACAATTATTCACCTTGGCAGGAAAGAAAGATTCAGAATAGTTGTTATCAATGGAATCAAAAATACGCATTCCCAGAATGCTGGAACTAGACACATCCAGAAGAATATCCAGATCAAAGTCATCGATCAGTATTAATTGATGATCTTCATCCATAATGTCATTGTCACTAGACTGCTTGTTAGGTTGATGTTCTTCATTAACTTTATTTTCATATTCATCTTCCTCTTTCACTTCCTGTACACCTTCATTTTTGTCTTCATCATTCGATTCAGCAGAGTTTTTGTTAAAAATTCTACCTATTGATCTATAGAGTGTTTGAAAAGTGACTCCATATTTTAAATTCTTTATTACTCTCAAACAACAAAAGATATCATAACGATCTTTTTGCTGTTTTGAAGCATGTTCCATGGCATTTTATTGTAGACGGAAAGAGCCGATTGGTCATATGACTGGCTGGGACGTAGCACGAATTTCCTGCACAGAATGTGTGAAAATAACTCGTTATTTTAAATAGTTTATTTTTCTGATATAATAGTAGTTACTATAACAAGCTTTCTACTATTTTGAAGTGTACATAATACTATAACATAAAATGTCTCAAATTTCTATGTAAACTCCTTCCTCATCCATGTACTTCTGTAGTTATTATAGTATCTATTGTCATATAAGAAAATAAACTATTCCAAATAGCTAGTTATTTCCAGACATTTTCCGAAGGAAATTCGTGCTTCGTCTCAAATAGCCATATGACCAATCGGCTTGTACCATCTACAATAAAATGCCATGGCACATGCTTCAAAATAGTAAAAAATTCTTTATGATATCTTTTGTTGTTTGAGAGTAGCAAAGAATTAAGAATAGAGAGCTACTTTTCAAACATCCTGTAGATAGCGCTTTGTATGCTAAGCAATTCACTTCTTCGAAAGCTATCATGTTATCATTGGGATTAAGAATAGAAAATCCACAACTAAAGAGAATCTGATTAGTGCAAATATAAGCACAAACAACTGGTTCTTCAATCAATTTTTCTGTAATTGTGATCGTTATTGTGGATGTTGGAGGTACTAGAAAATTTTGTTTAGATTGCATTTGATGTTTAGGAAATATAATATTATTTTTATTAGAATCAGAAGAGCATTTGATCTTGTGGATAATAGCGATTTTTTCGACTCATTGGGGAAACGCTTAAGCAGAGAAATTGACAACGGATAAAAAAGGACGAGTCTTCGATCTAGTTGCGCGAAATCTGCTTTCGCACATAAGTAAATTGAATAACGAAACGTTGAAAGCTTCTTTAGTGATTTTCTGTTTCGACACTAGTACTGCGAGATATGTTAAACTATGTTTGTTTAATTCGTGTGAGAAAAGAGGAGATACGGTGATGAATACGTTTTCTTTAGCAATAGGTGTATCAAAATCAGCTGAGAAAAAAATGCGAAATTCTTTGGTTAAGTTCATCGACATATGTGCCTTTCAGACACGCAGACCAGATGCGAACGATAAATACTACATACCAAGCATAGTAAAGGCAATCAATTATAATAGTGTTTTTGTTGACGACAGTCAAACGAACAAATTTTATGATCTATGAAAAGAAATTTGGAATATTTGAGCATTCAACAGGATTCAGTATGACGGAGTAACATCGTCAAAACGTTTAAATAACTGTTGCTTTATTAGTCAAATTCTTTTATACGATTCCATTTATGTTACCCTAATGAGAAAAGGTATTACCTTACCGATCTGATATTTAACGAAATGTATACCTTGCGAAAGCAATAAACTACTACCCTTAGATAAACTTGTGCTGCTTCTGAATTGGATATCCTTTTAAGTAAGGAAAGAACAGCATCAGTCGAGATCTCTTCACATAATAAAAAGTTCTGTGTCCTTTGGACAAACATCGGATATGGTTAATCCATGATCAATCTTTGAATGCTTATCAATCAGTTGCATAAGATGATCAATACTAGTGTAGCGCTATCTCATTAACAAAAAGGTTTTTGACGATAAAAGGTGGCTCCGTAATTTAGTGCATAGATGTAGCGTGTCTTGTAAACATAAAAAGAGTTGTCGTGATTTTTTTCAAAAAAATACGAAGTTTTCTAAACAACCCAAAACATGAAAACCTTAATAAATTCATACGATTGAGTGTTATTTTTATTGCATTAAAATATTAATAGTTTTATGTTAGTCTTAGAAGGTAACAAAAATTATTCTCATATTCTTTCATAATAACTCAGAGCAAAAGGACCGCGCCGAATAGGTTTTGGGTGTGGGGTGTGGGTATGAGCATGTGGGTTAAAGAAACATCCACACCCACTCGCACCCACACCCACACCCACGATGTTGAGAATAACAAAGATAAAATTTGGTGATGATGATGATGATGATGATAGCCAAGATATAGAATACATGTTGAATTTTTAGATGTCTCAAGATGTTGATGAATATTGATGCTTTTTATAGAATATAGACATGCATAGCTTTTATTCTGGATAAAAAGAAAAAATCATTCATTTGTTGTTTTTTTTTCCATTGATGTTTTGTCTTTGAACTTTTTTTTATTAAGGAACACTCAACGATCATTCCGAGCAACAAAAAAAAGACGAAAACCTTTCTTTTTTTTGTCTTCCCTATTTCGTATCCTTTTATTTTTTTTGTATTAAAAGACAATTGTCTGATAAGAGTTCATTCTTATGTCAATGTTTTTTGTTTCATGTTCCGTTTTGTTTTCTTCATACGTTCTAGAATGACTATGCAGTCAAACCTGTTCTGTTCATGTTTATTCTAGATTTGAATGATGGAATTTATTGTCGACTATTAAGAAAGAGAGATACTCGATAATCTATTATCAGACAAAAAAAAACAAAGAATTTTTCCTCCTCCCGTGAATCGAGATACGACGAAGACGAAGGCAACATTGAAAACTCCTAGTCAAGATGCACAAGGTCGTTGGTATGAACTGCTTCCATCAATACAACAGGTATTGACGACAGGTCATTAAAACTCATATGTGAATGACATCGTCATATCATAGACGAAGAAACAGAAAAAATGTCATGGTAATCGAAAACAACAACATAAACGAAGAAAATGACGGCGTCAACAAGAGAACCTCGCAATTAATAATAATATAACGTATCATTCTTTCGATGAACATACTATCCGTTTCGATAAGAATCAGCAAAATCAAAATAGAAAACAAGTAAGACTTGAACAAACAAATTTCCATGGGATTCATAATCGTTGGAGAGAAAAGAATGGTATGTCTATGTTAAAAAATTTTTCTTCTATTTAGGCTTATGTACAGAACATTCGTTCGAGAAAAAATAGCAAAACTAAACGTAAACGTCAAGAAAGAAATCCAAATGATCAACATGCCAATCGATCATTGAGTCAACTATCAATATCACAAGAAAAGCAGGCAAAAAAACAAAAATTAATCACGACTGTCAGAGAAACAACAATTCTTAATACTCATGAGCAACCAACACATCGACTACCCACAGAACTGTTACATGATAATATGGATAAGAAACAAGAACGAGTCATGGTTGAAGAAGAACATACACGAGCACTACCAACAATGTCGATACAAAAATTTAAACCTCAATATTTACAAGTCTCTAATCGAGTATTTAAAACGATATTATCGAGTGCTATTCCAGATGCTAATAAAATTGTTCATGGTTTGAATACCAATGAAAAACTTCAAATGATTCGTCAAATGACAGAAATAACGAAAGATTTACATTATTTCCAATTGCAACAGAATTTATGGCAAGCTTATTATAATCTTGGAATCAAAGAAAATATATAGATATCACCGTTAGATTCCACCAGTACAGATAGAAAACAAGGAAATAAAAATTCGATTTATTATTTTCCAAAATATCTCATTGAAAAACGTCAAGAAACCATTGCACATCAAATACAAAGTTCTAAGAATCAATTACAAGAATGTTTAATCTATTTATAGCAACATTCTTTTCATTGGTAACCAAGCATTGATCTTGATCTTCTATCACAGACAGTGACTGAATGTGTCAAGTAAGCGCAACAACGTTTAACAAAAGAATTTCAATATAGAATTGATCTAACACAACTTGATCTGAATGATCGTCGTTCAATTAAACAATTTTATGATTTACAACTCAATAAAGAACAGGTCTTTTTTTTACTTTTACTTTTAATTTTTTTTTGAAACACGAATCGATCTATGGTACTTTCATTTTCCGTATATAAACAATATAGATTCGTTTGGCAAAAAGATATTGGCAAATCGTAGTCAATGTACAAAGAACAAAAGAACAACTAGATACACTACGTCAACGAATTTTTTTACAACGATTACCACGTCGTATGGATAAGATGATTGATCTTTTCATTGATTATATTCAACCAATGCTATCCAGTTCTGTTCTTAACAAAGATCGACGTGCTGGATTAACATCAAGTTATTCGAAAATAATTACACGATATAAATTTGATTTAATGTCTCTAAATATGAATACATTGGAAAATATTGAACGTGGTCATCAACAATTATTGATCGATTTCAAAAAGAAAATTTTACAAGCATGTAATTATCCATTGAGGCAAGCGATTGAATAATGTCAACATACGATGAACCATCGTCATGAAAAATTTCTTGAACATAAATTGAATACTTTTTTCGACGAAGCTCCGACGACAACATCAAACGCATAGCGAAGCAGTTTTATTTCCATGATCGTCATCGTCGTCGTCGGAGCAATATCTTTATTTATACAAAAATAACTGCTTCTTTACCATTTATTGACGTCGATTTAAATTTACCTCCACAACAAATATCCATGTTTATCAATGGTCTCAAATATATACCACCATGTCAAATACGATACGCTCGTCAATCAATCGAGAAAATTCTTACTGAACAATATCAAAATATATCTAGTATTGTACAACAATGTGTCACAGATAATATTATGTCAATCACAGATGAACGAGCAAAACGAGCGATTGCCGATTTAGAACGTACTGTACAAGAAATAAAGTATACAAGAATTTCAAGAAAATTACATCTCCGTGCTCAATTTGAACAACGCATTATTCGAAGTATTCGACATTTACTACGTCAACGACCTAATATTGTTTTATGTCGTGCTGATCAAACAAAAGTATTGTATTGTGGTCATCGGGAGACAATGGTTGCCAAAGCACATGACAATATGAATAGAACAGAATCTTATCAACATATGAGCAATGGTCGTTGTCCTTTAGCGGATATCGTACATGCTGTTCATACATTGCTTAATAGTCTTGTACAACAAAAAGGTTTAACAAACGATCAATAGAATTATCTCTTTATCATGGTCTACCTAAAACACATACAGTAAATAAATTTCTTTTATTTTTGTTTTGTTTTGTTTCACTTTCATTGTATGTGTTTGTTATATGTTTTTGATAGGATGGGATGCCCTTACGACCGATCATTGCATCGATAAATGCACCAGCAACATTGATAGCAAAATTTTTAAATAATCTTTTAGCGCCGATCTATTTACGAGTGGCTCGTGAAACAACCTTTATTAATGATATTGATGTCATTCAAAAATTAGAAACGTATGTTTCAAACGGTTATTTAACATCACAACACAATTTATTACAGCTGATGTTAAATATCTCTATACGATGATAACACGAGAGGGAGTCATCGCCGCATTGATTCGATTTTTAGAAAAATATTCATATCATGGCAAGATCGCTACAGGGTGTGGGTGAGTGTCGATGTGGGTGAACAGAATCCTGTACTCACACTCACACTCACGCCCATACCCACATCCACACACTCATACCCACACCCACACCCACACCCACACCCACACCCACCCTCAAGCAGGACATTTCGGAAACCGAATCTTCCAAGAATGTTAATATTCTTGTTGTTTTTATGTTTCCATTCTTGTATTAGTTCTTCGATCAGTTTATGATCAGATTTATCAGGTTTGGCCGTGAAATCGAGAATGATTGAAGGAAGTTCATTTCGATCTGATGACATCATTTGTTGATTTACAATGTTAATGTTTAGTGTCTTACTTTGTTGGTAGATCGTTTGAGAATTGATCTCGTTCCGTTCGTCGGAATCGGATCGTGATCTTTTATTTGTTCCAGGTATTCGAAAACCTGATTTACGAATTGGACAAAATGATCATTCATCATCCATTTTATTATGTGAAACACAATTCACACGAGTTATATGTTTCGTTGACTACAGAAGAGAAAAATACATCCTACCACTATATCGGCGAGAGGACGAATTCGAATACCATTGGATCAAATAGGATCCAACAGGGGAAATTTGATCTGGGTAGGTTCGGCATTTCTGATAGGAAACTTTTTATAGTTCTTTATAATCTGGCAAAGCTTTTAAGGATTTTTCACTGTGATATAGAACTATAAATTAGTTCAACATGTGCTACAGAACCAAAAGTAATTTTGCAAAACTCGTTAATTTTTTTTCATAGTACGAGAGGCGAAACCTAGTTCGAATGGAACAGTCAGAATAAAATTATGACAATAATGTATGAAACCAAAAGGTGTATTCAGCATCTATATATTTTACGTTTGCGATAGATGATTTTCACGCAAATAATGGCGCTACATCCTACAGTCGCAATTTCATAGTAGTACATCCGATTTTGATTGAAAAGCAATACAAATAAAAGATGTCGTTACATCAACTTCTTGATTTTAGTTCATTTTTACTATTATATTTTATCAGAAGAGTTTAACATCATAAGTAATCTCTAATAATGATATCCACTTCATATGCTACAAATATGAGCTTTCCAAAATGAGTTTCACCTTAAATGCATCGCTGATTTTTTCATTGGACATTGATTTTATGACTCATGCAAATTCGGTCATAGACTATTGACTCACCAATGATCAACTCAACCACTGACTCATTTATTTGCTTTTGTCCATTTGAATTGTTTGTTTCGTTCATCAGTAATTCATCAGCATTACTTCGTAAAGATGAACTTGTCGGCAGTATGTTTAAATGGCTCAATTCATGCACAAATGAGTTACAAACAAGGTCACTCTTTTATTGTTCACTCTATTCTAGAACGACGTACAATTTTTTGCTTGTCTTATTATCAATTCTGTTNTGTCTGGAATAAATATACATTTACTCAACAAATGCATGAATTATACAAGACAACTATATTAATTACACCATGTGGTGGCATCTCAACGATAATACCATTTTTACCTGAAGGAACACATGCAATAGTAACGGATTTCTATGTCAATGAACGAGCATATTCGAAGATTGCGAGATATGCGGTAGGAGAATCAGCTGCGATGGATGCATCTTTTTGATATCGTTCATAAAAGTCGTCCAGCTGTGAGAAAGTAGAAGAAGTAGCGAAGACAAGGCAGTAATGAGGCGAATAGAAATAACATTTACATTTTCGATATTAATATTGAAATACTGACACTAACGTCACTGGTATTGAAGTCTAGTGAGCGACTGAATACATTGTTACTTATGGTTACCTTAGTAGCCAAGAAAAAGCATCTATCTTCACTGAAGAAGAATGACTAGCTGATATTAATCGACATGGAAATACACTAAGGGATGTTTCATAAAAAACAACTCCATTGTTATTATTTTTATATTTTTGTTATGTTTAAAAGTAGAGACGTATTAGACATAATCTATGTGTAAAAATTCTTCGTACAAAAATCTGTCTAGTCTTTTATTTCAACACATTGTTTTATTTCTTCTTTATTGCAACAAACAAAAGTTTAAGTGCTAAATTTTCAACAACCAAAAAGAACAAGATTCATAAGGTTCTTTATCAGCAAGTTTTCGAACTTGTTTACGTATACCTTAAACATAGTTGGTACAAGTTTCAAATCGATTTGTTTCAATTTTGTTGTAATTCTTTTCTTCATTCGATTAATAGCTTGTGTGTCTCAGCCCTTATCATATAACATATCATTAGTGATTGACCATGAAGTTTCTATCGGACGTTATAGCAGACAATTTTAAGGATTGTATTCAATTGACACAACTTTCACTTGATTATCTCTCAAATACGATTTGATTCATGGCCATAGTGGCTCGAAGTCAAATCGAGTTGAATAAACTTGTTTCTTGGTGTAATAATTCTCGATGATTGGCATTAAACGTGCTTTAATACATTCGTTCAAATAAGTTGTTTGAGTAATCTCACATCGATATATATCATACACTGTTGAACACGTGATTCATTTCACATATCTCTCTGTTCCAATTGCGTCATTTCTATTGTACTTTTGATATTTTCTTCTTTTCTCTTTGTTTGTTCGTTCATTTTGAAATATTTCTACTAAAGTCATACCATCATCTGCATCTCTTTATAATGCTCTCTTCTTCACAAATTGAATGAAACTGTCATGAATGTGTAGTTACTATAAATGGGTGTCATAAATATTGCAACAATTGTCAAACAATGTTAGTGTGGACTTGAGTTGCTTCTGAAAAATCTGGCTTATACAGTAACTATTATTGGCATCGTCAAAGATGCGATTATTGTGCACCAGACTTTGAACAAGAAAGACAACAGCTAAAGGAAGAGAAGCGAAATGAAAGTATACAAAAACTTCAAATGTTGTATGATGATAAACAACATTCGTCATTTAGTCTGCATGTAAATTTCTATTTGTAGAGCAGCGTCCATGGTCCGAGTGGAGTGTTAGTAATGATTCCTGTATACAGCATACAGGACATGACATGAACAAATACGACAATTATACATTTTTTGTGAACAGTCGCTAGTAGAATATTGTACGAACAGAAAACAACACCATACAAGTACAGGTATTCCATATCTATCTCCTATAAATCTACTTTCTGTCACATTATGGTACTTGAAGCATTATCATACAGAACGTTATATAGCAACAGAGTTGAATTTCGGTCGACCAACAGTGGAGTATTTTTTATCGGTGGTAATAGATATTTTATATTCCTGTATTTGTCCAAAATTGATTTTATTACCTGATGATATGAATGATGAAGCTACAATTCATGGACCTGAACCACACCATACGTTAATAGTTGATTCGACTTGTATTGCAATTCATCAACCTGAAGGTTCTGAACAATGTGAAACATATTACCATGCAAAAAGTTCGACAAACTATGTGTTCAAAGTACAAATAGCTTGCGACTTTCATCATCGAATAGTACACGTATCCAAATGTTATCCAGGTAGTGTACATGATATTACAATTCTAAGAGAATCAGGTTTATTAGAACATACACAAGAAAATGTACAAATTATTGCTGATAAAGGATATATTGGGGAACAATATGTTGTCACTCCAAAAAAAAACCACGTGGTGCTGAACTAACAACTGAAGAGAAAGATTTTAATTGGTCTATTTGCAGCGCAAGAGCAGCTATTGAAAACATTAACCAGCGTCTTAAAAATTATGCTATTTTAGGAAACGTTTACAGAGGACCTTATCATAATATTGATAAAATTAGTAAAATTGCACATGTTGTTTCTGCTCTATGTAACCTTCAATTGTGTAAAAATCCTATTCGTAAGCATAGATCATAATATGTTATTTATTATTTGCGATCGATTATTTGAATAAACTATGTCAATGCAATTTTTTATGGTTTTAAATGCTAAGTATGAATTATAATAACTTTCATAAGGAAAGATTTCAGGAAAGATTTTACGAAAAGGCTTAATTATTTCGGTTCCTGCAAACATATATATCCCGAACAATGATAAATAATTAGCACTACATAAGTACTATAACTGTTAAAAAAATCATATCATTCTGATATAATATAGAAGTTAAATAATAAAAAAAAAGTTGGGACATCCGGTCAGACTATCCAACCCCATATATATTACGAAGAGTAATGTCTAAGATATTGTTCAACAGAAATTACACCCAGTTTGCATCAACTATCAGAAAATGCTTGATCGGTAAAAATAATGAAAAAGCCATCAAAGTTAGTTTTTATTTTTTATCCTATAAAAACTAATTCACTCAATATTTCGTATATATCTCTGTTAGGTTTTGATGTTTTTACTGAAGCTTTTTTTTTTTACAAAAGATGATCTGTGCAAAGTTCTATAAGAGAATTCTTCAAAAAGTTAATCGAAAACTGTACCTGATAAGCAGTACTGCACTGGAAAACAGTCTACTTTCAAGGACACTTTTTTTTTCATAAAAACAAATTCTTTTGTTGCTGATTACACAGGTTTCAGAAGTTTTAAGGCGCTCTTTACAAAATATTTTTTCTTGAAATTTGTAGAAAATAGCACAGACGATCTTTTCGAAAACTCTCAAATCAAATCATCAAAAGCTAACAAAGATATTCGAAAAATATTCAGTCGACTATTCTTCACATAAAAATATGAAAAGAACCTATGATAGAGCTTATTCAAGATTTTTACCAATATGGCACTTTCTTACGGTTACAGTACGTCGTATGCAGTTTCTGTTGACTGTGGCCTATTTCAGAGTTGAACGGTGGTGAATATTTTTGGATAACCTTTTGTAGGAACTTCTGTCTTCTAAAGTATTTTTTAATGAGCCTTTCAAGAAATGTGCCGCAAAAACTTTTTTTCAAGAAAGTGAGCAGAAAAGGTGAAACTTTCATCTAATTTCCTCGAAAAAAAAACAGGTAGAATTCCACAATAAAATAGTTATAAATTCTTAGTGACACAAGTTAAAAAGCTGAACCTTGCACAGTTTTGTAGGTTCTTGACTGGCAGTTCTAATGCTGTACCAAAAGCCGAAAATTCACTCTGTTGACTGAGCACATCACATTGGCTTCAATGGTCTCGATTGAAAAAACTCAACTAAACTTGTCGAAAAGTCTGTAATATATGATTCTGTTTATCTTGATCTTCTTCTTTCAACAGTGAAAACCGTCGTTCACTATCTTGTTCCTACAAAAAGTTATTCCAAACAGGGCCCTGGCTGTTTAATGCTGAAATGTACAGTAATAACTTAGATGTTACTCTTTAAATATACATAATGTAATTACATATAAAAAGCTTTGCTCCTCATCAATTTGTAGACCATTAATGAAGCTGTACGATAATATATAATATGTTACAACATGATTTTTTTTTGTAAATATTAGACATTTAGAGCAAAAATACTTGCAAAAGTGAGTTGTACGACGCTACGTAACTGTAGCAAATAAACAGAAAAATATAACTGTAAATCATTTTTGTAAAGAGAGTATTCCTCGTCAAACTTCACTGAAGAGATCCAAACAGGCTTACTTTTCCTAGGCCTGGCCTGCCCATGGCAGGCGATGAACTTCTCTTGTCTACTTGTGTCTGGTCTGTCTATTTAAAGTTGTGCACATTTATTGTACACTGATATTAGAATAATAATTAAGTGTTGGTAGAAAACCATCTTTACAACGAAATCTGGAAGTTGCTGATATCAAAATAGCATGACAAAACGAAAAATCTACTACTTTAGTGTGGTATGTAACTGTTAAAGAAAGACAAAAAGGAAATTTTCAAAATTTAGGAAAAAAACTATTTTTGAGCTAAAATCTTTTTAGTGAATTTGATGATTTAGTTGAAGAGGAATTATTGTGTCCGACCGCATTACGAGAATATAAATATGAATCAGGAACACAGGAATTCGTAAATACTTTCTGTAAAATCTTAATAACAATCAATTAAAAATTGGTATCCTTAGCCTACCGAAATGAATGAACAAATAAATAAATGGACAATGAGGAATGTAATTAAAATTCGTTAATAGTTCTGATTGTGCTAAGTCAAACTGATCCAAAGGTAATATCTTATCTTCCAGAACAGAAGTTCTTCGTACTATATATTCATATCTGTGCTTTCTATTAAAAAAAATCAAGTTTTTCTTTTGAAAATTTAAAAAACGACAGGCAGATGGCCGACCATTTTTAGTAGACTACCTGGTCTGGGACAGGTCGGTGAGCTCGGTGACTTGTTTGAAGCTCTGTGACACTAAAAAACAATACTGCTATACTGAACTATTTCAGGATCTTGGATTTTGTACAAAGCCTAACATAATTTTTGAGAAAGTTGCACAACCTAAAAAGATTTTTGAGAAAATTAGGAAAGCTTTGAAAAAACTGTTTTGGAACAGTCACAATAATTTTGAGTCATTTTAGGTTTGTACGGAACTTTTTTAAAGTTAAGATTTTCGAGAAATATGGTTTTATATGATACCTTATTATTTTATGGTGCATGAGTCTATTAGTAAGACATTGAATCTAGTGGAAAAATTATAATGATAAGCCATATTTTTGCAAAAAGTAAAAAAGCTTATCTGTGCAGAACCGTAAAAGTTTAAAATTTTGTTCCGAAATTCGGAACCGTTTAGGATTCCGTATGGCACCTTTTTTTGGTGTATACGCAATATTATCAGGAAGTATGAAAATAGTGGTCATATCGAAGGCAAAAATCTAGATCTAGTCGTATAAAGAACTATCACATGGACAATTAATACGACTTAAACAGCAAGTGAATTACAAGGCTGGTACTTCGTTACGTTGAATAGCTCTAAAATTTGAAAACCAATGTAAAAACAATTGTCAACTAACTGAAAGCTATAGGTATATGCTGTTACGAAAAAAGCGAGCACCAAAATGTACTGAAAAACAATCTCAAGAAATTTCAACTCATACCCGTCGTCTATATCTTTTATTTTTATAAGATGATTATGAATCGCTAATGAATGATGAAAAAAAACTGTTGTGCCACAGTGAAACTGTAGCCGTCAAGCGTGGTTTCTATTTGTCGGATACACATACTGCAACTACACATGTTAAATTTAAAAGAACCCAAAAATTTGACCAAAATGACTAGTTGTGGTTCCTGTCTGAAAATAATGTTTCGAAACCATTCTTCTCAAAACAAGAGCAGGCTACGAAAGAATATTTGATAAACAAAAGATTTTTTTCTTCACTAACCACTGTGGCATTGATTTGCTCATCTTGAAGATGTCTACATCTGAGTGTAGATAGATTTATTTTTATTTACTGTTGACTCAGACTTTAAATGCACTATTGATTACTAAGTCTGTCTGCTTCAAAATTTATATAGTTGATAAGAGTGAAAGTATACTTCATCCAAACCTTTTATGAAAAGGTTTGATTATTTCGGTTTCTGCAAACATATATAGCCCGAACAATGATAAATAATTAGCACTACATAAGTACTATAACTGGTAAAAAAATCATATCATTCTGATGTATACAGAAGTTAAATAATAAAAACAAAAAGTTGGGACATCCGGTCAGACTATTCAAATCCATATATTCAATACTTCTCCATCTGTGAGCATGCCGAAGATATAAAAAATAAAAATAGAGTCGTTACTTATGAAAATTCTTAATGATTACGTATGTAAATGTGAGTGTGCGCATGTGTGAGATATTATTGTAGACGTGTAAGTTTCGATCAGTATTTGCTGGCTTGGGTGCTATGGAAAGTGTTCTGATGAGAAAATCAGTTGCCAGATGTCATCAGTACCCACAAATATATTGTTGCAGCCATTTTTTGATATCCTCAGTGAATTCAATAAGAAAGTCTCCCAGAAAGAACTCGAGGTAGTAGAATAATAGGAGATGTTCTTGGTGAATAATCCTTTTTGAATTATTTTCCACATGTTCGCAAGCTTTACTATCAAGTTCGCAGCGATAAAGATTATGTTTTTGACTTTCCTACAGGAATAAATAGCCGTACTGAAGCGTCGATCATAATTAACACAACTCGCCTACAGGAACTAATTGACACTGCTTTACAAGAATCATCTTTAGTTCAATAAATCCTTGTTTTAACAGGCGTTCTTGCTAGTTGTTCTTTTTTTTGTCAGAAACATTAGTGAGCATTTCTTTTTTGTTATATTTCTCAAAAATGTAAACCCATTAGCATATGCTGTAAACATGTTATGAGAAGAGCAATGTAAGTAATAAAGAAAGAGAACTTAGTGAAGGTGAACTTGGAACTCTTAAAATTAGATGTTTGCTGTTGATAATAAGATCATTTGTTCGCGAAAACAGTTACATAAAACTAATATCAAGTGATGCATAAAGTATGTTGCAGAATTTTTAAAGTAATTTCAAAGTACACACTTTTCACATTTAGCAAGACCTGACCAAGTCCCCACAGTTTGGGAACTCTTTGAGCATTAGGAACTCAAAAATCAATTAACACGAATGAGCGCTAATAAACTAAAACAGGTCAACAACATCAGGGAACTCTGGAAACTCTGGGATACCAGGGATATGAAGGATCTAACAATGGAAGGTCGGGAACTGTTGAGCAGTAAGATTGACCTTGTTCGAGTGAAATGATTACTCTCATCGAGAAACTAAC